GGCGGATGCCATGCTCCGCACAGTAGGCTGCCAAGAGGTCGGAGGAAAACTCACCACCTCGGTCAGAGTGCAGACGCAGGACGGGAAAGTCCGACTGGAACCGGTCGCGGAGCTGGAGACGAGCAACGCGGATCCAAGGGATCAAAACATCAGGGACCTCACCCTTGGTGCGCAAGGGGAAGACCGTGGTGTAGCGCGTGTAGTCGTCGACAACCAGTAGGAAGTACCGCTCGTGGCCCTGTCCACGGACGTGGGCTGGGCCCCACACGTCCAGGTGGAGAGTCTGCAGAGGAGCCTCTGTGGGAGGGAACGAGGAGGAGTGAGGAGCGGCGCGCTGCCGCCCCTCGATGCAGGGAAGACAGGGAGGAGCAGGCGAGGGCGGGAGGGGAGGGAGAACCCTGGGAAGACCAGAGACAAGGTACCGGGAGTGCATGCCACGAAGGCGCTGCACTGACGGGTGCCCAAGCCGGTGGTGCCAGAGAACCGTCTGGTGCGACAGGGAGCGACACGAGCAGGGGGCCGAAAGCTGACCTGACGCAGACACAGACGCAGCTACCTGAGGGGACTCAGTGGTCAGTGTGTACAGGTCCGACCCCGGCTGCCGAGTGAAGGTAGCTAGGTGGCGACCTGTCCTAGCACACGTACAGTGGGTCACACACTCATAGGCAGGGGTGAACTGGTGAACACCCCCATCCTGAAGAGCAGAGCCCGCCACCAAGTTCGTAGAGAACGAGGGGAGGTAAAGACCCAACAGGGTGCCAGACGGGACCGCAGGATAAGGGAGGACAGTGGAGGAGGTCGCAATGACCGGGCCCCCAGAGGGGTCAGCGAGAGAGACAGCAACCGGCCGAGCTAGCTGCTCAAGGGCAGTGCTCACGGAAGAAGCAGCGGGAAGCACCCGAGTCGAGTGTGAAGGTGTGCAGTGCCTCAGTAGACGCAGTACCAGCAAGCGCAGATGCACTAGCACCTGAGGGAGCAGACTCACTAGCACCAAGAGCAGCAGCCTCACCAGGACCGAGGGCAGGAGACGCACGCTTACCAAGAGCAGCAGCCTCACCAGGACCTAGGGCAGCAGACGCACTAGCACCTGGAGGAGCTGTCTCACTGGTCCCAATGCCCGGGTCTGGCGGTAGACTCAGGTAACAGTCACCCTCAACACTAATAGTCAATGCATACATGGCACCAAGGATAGCATCAAAGTCAAGAGCAAAGATATCAATGTTCTTCCTAAGCAGATCAGCCCAGCGGGGCAGCTCAGTGGCGTCAGGAAACTGCTCACGCCAGGCGTCGTCGAGACGAAAGAAGCAGCGCTGCGCCGTGTGGAACCTCCCACAGGTCTGGCCAGTGCAGTCACCTGTGCGGATGACGTACGGGCAGGTACCTCCACCCCCAGACCCCCCACGCTGAGAGTACCACTAACGGAGTTGCTGGGCCGAGGGAGTCTGCTGCTGCTGCCTCTGGCCACCGCCGAACCCCCCACGCTGCACCGCTCCACCACGTCCGCCACCCGCTCCACCGCCGCCACCACTGCCACCACCGCCCCCACCACCCCCATCACCGCCGCCGCCACCACCCCCTGTGCCGCCACTGACCCCCCCACCACCCGCGCCACTCCCACCTCCGCCACCACCCCCGCCCCCCCCACCCCCTCCACCGCCGCCGCCCCCGCCTCCACCTCCACCACCCCTGCCCCCCTTGCCCCTGCCGCCCTTGCGCCTCCCACTAGGAGAAGACGCGGCCCCGACCCCCTCAGCTCCGAGGTAGCCGACAGCAGCAGCAGATGCAATGGAGGGGAGGAGGGGGGAGGGGGAGCACCCCTCAAAGAAGGCACCTACAGCTACAATGCTCTTCTCAGCTGCTAGGAGTTCCTTCTCGAGGAGGTCGACAGTGAGGTCAGTGGGGGAGAGGGCGAGAAACTAGTCCCTGACAGTGCGAAGGGAGTCAGGGAGGCGGGTGACACGGTGGTACAGTGTGAGGTACATCGGGGGGGGGGTTCTTGGCGAGGAAATCAGGGGGGAGCGCGGCACGGTAGCGGAGGTCACTGGTACGGAGGTGGGTGATGAGGTCAGCTACAGTGGCAAACGCGGACAGGTCAGGGAAGAGATAGGGCAGTGAGAGACGGCCTATAGCAGCAGTGGCAGGGGAGGAGTAGCGTGCGACTACTGCGTCGTACAGCTCCTTAGCGGTCTTATGCTGGCCGAAGTGCTCGCGCTCATCTAACGTTAGGTGGCTGCGAACGGCTAGGCGAGCGTGAGCATCACGGGTCTGCCACTGGGAGCGAGCAGTGCTGTCAGCAGTAGTGGGAGGTGCGGGAGCAGCGCCGGACGTGTGGTCATACAGGGAGACATCGTCTTTGGCAGTGATCTGAAGGAACAGGTGGAGGTCATCTAACCAGACCTCAAACTTAATCGGGCGGCCCTCAGCGTCAAAGGTGAGAACAGAGGGAGTGGCCATAGTGGCAGTAGCAGCAGCAGGAACAGTAGCAGTAGTAGCAGTAGTACAGTAGGAACAGGAAAAGGAGTAGGTGGGGCACAGTAGGGTGGCGCGGCTCGGCCAGGGCGGCGCGGCTCGGCCAGGGCGGCGCGGCTCGGTTCGGGCGGCGCGGCTCGGGTCGGGCGGCGCGGCTCGGCTCGGGCTGGGCTACTCAGCGGTGCGCAGCCAGGGGGGGGGGCGTGCGCGTGGGCGGCTGTAGCGGGCGGGCCGTGGCTGTGCGTGGGCCGGACTAGCGCGAGGGCGGCGGCCTAAAGGGGGGGCGTCGCGGCGGCCTACAGGTGGGGCCGCGACTTCCTGGGCGGCTGTCGACCGTCGGCCTAGGGGTCGTGCATCGGCCTAGGGGTCGCGCGTCGGGCTAGGGGCCTACGGGCGACGGCCTGCTGGGGCTCGCAAGAAAAATCGGGCCGCCCTAGGCAGCGGATTTCCTACTCGCGGGCTGAAGCGGCGGGGCCGCGCTCGGGCTGCTAGCGGGCTGCACACGGGCAGCGTGAGAGGAGGGCGCACGAGGGCGCACTAGGGAAGAAGGCACACGGGGGCGCTAAAAAAAAAAAGAGGGCGCTCGAGGGCACCTCTAGCGGAACGGTGGGCCCATAGGTCTAGAACCTAAGCTCTTAATACCATGTTAGAAACGAGAAGTGATTGAACTATCAAAGATTGGAGTACAAGTATGCAACCCTAAAGTTGTGTACCCCCTAAAGGCTAACCCACTATAGCCTACACAGCAATAGCATATGGATAATGTTTGACAGTATGATCACTGTATTGTTTGTTCACTTTATATAACTCTGCATGTGAACTGGCCTTGTGGCCCTTTGCTTGTGCTCGGACTGTGTGGTGACTTTGTGATCCACCCTGAGCTTGCTTTGCTTTTCTTGACTGGTCTTGTGACCACTTGTTCTCCCCCACTTTGCCTATGGGGGTGTGTCAGAACATTATAGCCTTTACATTTGTGTAGGCTATGGTGGGGTAGCCCATAAGGGGTACAACCCAATTAGGGTTAGTACTTGTACCCAACTCTTTGCTAGTTCATTAATTCTCGTTCGTTAGTTTAACACATAGGATGAACCATCAAGGCTCATCGGTGTTGCTCTGTTGTTGTTGTCGCTGTTGTTTGACTGCGGAGGAGCTGCTTGCTGGTGTTGCTCGTAGAAGGACATGAAGGAGAAGAATTTCTCCATCATGTTTGGGTCGAAGCTTGCTGCTTGATTTCCGGGAGTTTCGGTTGACTCCGCAGCTGGTCTTGTTGATGTGCCTTCCTCTGTCTGTAGGCCAGAGGCTGGAGGTGGGGTAGGAGTAGTGCCGAGAGATCTGTTAGAGGAGCTCCTCTCCTTCTGTGTCGCCATATTTTGCGTTGTTGTAGGTTTTTGAGAAATCGATCTTGCCCTGTTTGCTCTCATACCATGTTGGGCTGAGAACAGCCCTTAGGTTCTTTCAAGGCTGAGATCTAGGTTGAAGTAGGAATGTTGTAGTTGCGGAAGCGTTTTAATATCAGAGTTGCTGAACCTGTCAGAATCCCAACCACTAGACCATTGGGATAAAAGGGCTTTTTAAGTAGCGGGTCAGTGCGCCCATAACCCCTCAGGACAACGAGCCTGTAACCCTTCCCTAGGATCAATCGGGGATCACCAGTGGACCTCAGACAGAACCACCTTGTACTAGTGTGTGAGAACAAGATAAGTTGATAATAGGAAGGAAGTACAAGGCTTTTATATGATTACAAAGGGATATGAAAGGTTCTACTTTAACTGTTTTGCTGTTGCGGTTCGATACAGTGCCGACTCGGGTAACTGCTCAGTGTCGAGTCAGTTATGTGTCCTTGCTGTCGCACTCGTCGAGTCAAAGGTCAGCGACCTTTGACCTTCGCGTATCCTCCTGCGGTTGCTTTTTTTGACTCGTGTTGCTTCACTGTAGTCTGCTTCGTTTCGTGTTGAAACTTCGATACTACAGAGGCGTTTTAAGTTACTTGTTTCCAACATTATCAAGGACTTTACTCTAAAAGATCCCAAGGGCTCTGTTCAGCCCAACACTAACAACCAGGATATGATGTACCGTACGACCACACCATCCGTATGACGGTGCTGGGACGGTCAAACACGTTCATGGTTTCAGTATGTGCGTATTTGGTTTCACACCGAGGAAAATTTTATTCAAGAGTGATTTGAGGCATTATTCTAAACGTAGTTTCAAATTTTCCAGATGGTTGTCCGAAGAGTGTTTAAAAATAAATGACTCGTGAAATGATATCCCCAAAATGTGAAACCAAATATATATGGTTGCTAAGGAGTTTCAAAATGCTTTAGCCTAATAATGCTTTTGCCAGTAACGAGTCGCAGCATTCCCGCGCTCTCTTGGTGACGCAACTCAACTCAATCACAAGCCAAGCGTCGATGCGCATGCGCCTGACAAAAAAACTCTAGACCCGAATTACTTCTCCAAAATCGTTGCGTACGCTTGAAAATCGACTCCACGCTCTCATACCTCTTATAACGCGCCAATCAGCGGGCGCCATGTCAGGGTGGGACGAGGGGCAGGTGTTCTACAGCAACCAGTCGTTCCCCGAGTCGGAAGGGCCGCCCGGCGACGACGCGCTGGGCGACGCGGGAATCACGCGATACGCCGCGCAGAAGAAGCTTCGCGAGTTCGTGCGAAACTTCCACGATCCGCAGTATCATGACCGCTTCATCTACAGGTGCGCCGCGTACGGAAACCCGCTGCCCGCTACCAGCATCCTCCGCTGCCGCGGCCACCTCATTCCGCACCGTGCGGTCCCCGCCCCTGTTTTATGCGGGCCCCTCCCTTCCCTGCGACCAGCCGGGCTTGCGCCGTCGTAAAATCCGCGCCTTTCCTTCCCTCACAAACCGACTGATCCGCACCGACTGATTCCGCGCTGACTGGGCTTTAATGCGCCCCCCTCACAAACTGACTGATCCGCGCCGTGAGCTTCCCGTCGTCCCCTGTGCGCCGTGCGCCCTCCCAGCACGCGGTCCGCACCCTTCCTTTCTAGCATTTTCCCTCCTCTAATCCCGCCTGTTTCCTGCCTCACATGGCCGGGGCTGCACAGCAAACGCCGTGTCTCGTTTCCCTCGTCCCACGGTAACCCCCATTCCCCCCATGGCGCAGGGAGCGGCTGCAGGAGGGCGGGGGCGTGGTGGAGGTGGATTTGGAGGACCTGGCGAGCAAGGAGGAGGGGCTGTGCCGCCTCATGCGCACGCGCCCCGCTGACATGCTGCCGCTGGTGGGTGGGATGGTATTCCCATGGATCTTCATGGACTCTGATTGCCCTGCTCTACTTTCCCTTGCCCGTGTGTCTTTCTCAGTGTAGAGCATTAGTTTCTCATGAGCGCGCTGAGTGCTTGATATGTATTCGTCTTTCTCTCTGCCTGCCTGCTCTCGGCCTCCTTGCTCGCTCTCTTTCTCACCCACCCCGCCTTGTGCTGACATGGCAGTTGGAGGTGGCAGCAGCTGAGGTGGCAGCAAGCGTGCGGCAGAAGGTGATGGGGGAGAGTGGGGAGCTGGAGGATGCACGAGTGCCGCCCGTGCAGGTGCTGCTCAAGAGCTCTGAAGACGCCATGCCCATCCGCGCTTTAACGGTGCGTGCCATGGCCATCTCCGCTCTTACGGTGCGTGCCATGGCCATCTGCGCTCTTACGGTGCGTGCCATGGCCATCTGCGCTCTTACGGTGCGTGCCATGGCCATCTGCGCTCTTACGGTGCGTGCCATGGCCATCTGCGCTCTTACGGTGCGTGCCATGGCCATCTGCGCTCTTACGGTGCGTGCCATGGCCATCTGCGCTCTTACGGTGCGTGCCATGGCCATCTGCGCTCTTACGGTGCGTGCCATGGCCATCTGCGCTCTTACGGTGCGTGCCATGGCCATCTGCGCTCTTACGGTGCGTGCCTTGCCTTGCATCACACGCATCGTTTGCATTACTTCCTTCCTCGCCCCTTACTCTCAACCATGTCGCGCCATGCCTTCCGTGGTCCCGTTTCAGTTTCTCTCTTTGTTCTTCTGGTGCGGTAGCAACTGGGTGTGTTACATCGCTGCCCAACTGATTTCCTGATCGATCGCAAGCATCGTTCTTCCACCTCTTATCTCGCTTGCTCTCCCTCTACCTCCCCGCCCTCCCCACTTCTTTCCACCCCTCACTTCACCAGGCGGCACAGATCTCGCATCTGGTGAAGATCTCAGGCATCGTGATTGCCTCCTCGCGAGCCAAGGCCAAGGCGACCTCCGTGGTGCTCATGTGTCGCTCCTGCAAGAACGTCAAGGCCATCCCCTGCCGCCCGGGGCTGGGAGGCGCCATCATCCCGCGCACATGCGACCGCACCCCCCAGGTAGTTTCCTATTTTGACCTCCATGAGCAAGTGAAAAGTAGAAAACGAATGACAACGCTCGTCTTTCCCTCCGCCCCCTTCTCCTCTCCTTGTGATGTTTCAAACCTGACTTTTCTATCATTCCCCTCCCCTTCCTTGCTTATCGCGTTCCTCGTTTCCCTTCTCCCGCCTGCCTCCATCCACCCCTTGTCTGTGCGAGCAGCCAGGCGAGGAGCCATGCGGGGTGGACCCGTGGGTGGTGCTGCCGGATAGAAGCGAGTACGTGGACCAGCAGACGCTCAAACTGCAGGAGAATCCCGAGGTAACTGAGGAGAATCCCGAGGTAACTGAGGAGAATCCCGAGGTAACTGAGGAGAATCCCATCCCGAGGTAACTGAGGAGAATCCCGAGGTAACTGAGGAGAATCCCGAGGTAACTGAAGAGAATCCCGAGGTAACTGAGGAGAATCCCGAGGTAACTGAAGAGAATCCCAAGGTAACTGAGGAGAATCCCGAGGTAACTGAAGAGAATCCCGAGGTAACTGAGGAGAACCCCAAGGTAACTGAGGAGTCTTTGGAGTAATTCCAGGAAACAGTGTCTGTGGATCTTCATGGAAGGTGACGATGCCCCATGCCCCATGCCGATGGGTGAGATGCGGTGCAGGCAGTGTAGTGCTGCCGGTGGACTTCTCGCTGGTGCAGCATGATGCTTGCACTGCATGCACACCATGAACCTCGCCCAATACCCCACTATGATGGACTATACGCGTTTAGCGTATATATGCGTATCGTATATACGCTAGCGTGTATACGCCATACGCTTGAGGGTCGGATCAGGCATACGCTTTTTCGGGCAGGGAAAAAAACATTTCGGGCAGGGTGGAAAAAAAATACCCCCTATCTCATCTCACTAAGACGTGCCCTAGCATTTTCCTGAGTCCGATCGGCGGATGGGGTGGGGCGGGGAGTAGACATCATAGCTAGAGGGAGTAGTGTTGGAAAGGTTATTCAAGTTGGAGTGCGCGGGGACACTGCTGCAAGCGGGAATGCAAGGTAGGAAATGATGGGTTAGGAGTTGGTTGGCTGGTAAGTAGCGTGAGATTTGTTGGGGGTTCAATTTTGATAGGTTGGGGTTCGTAGATAAGATGGTTTTCAATGCGGTAGAGGGGATGGGTTCAAATGCCTAGATGGGACCTGAAATTCGACATTTGAATAGTCAGATGTGCCTGAAAACTTCGAAGTCAGATCCCAGCTTGCATAGACCGCGGATTTGCATTTCGACTTCGGCGAAATGCTCACCAAGAAAATCCACATCTTTTCTGCGATTTTACTTTCCCGGGCTGCCCGAAAATTTTTATGGCTGCGTATCGCGTATTCGTTAGCGTTTAGCGTATTGCGTGTACACGCTAGCGTAGATACGCTAAACGCAGAGGGTCTAGAGCGTATAATCCATCATAGATGCCCCATACCCCATGCCCCATACCCCATACCCCATACCCCATGCCCCATACCCCATGCCCCATGCCCCATACCCCATGCCCCATGCCCCATGCCCCATACCCCATGCCCCATGCCCCATGCCCCATACCCCATGCCCCATGCCCCATGCGGCCCCATGCCCCATGCCCCATGCCCCATGTCCCATGCCCCATGCCCCATGCCCCATGTCCCATGCCAATTGCCCCATTCCACATCTGGCATGACAAATGCACCGTGTCAAGCTCCTGTCTCATGGCCCATGCCCCATGCACCATATCCCTCAGGACGTGCCCACGGGTGAGACACCGCCCAGTGTGGTGCTGGCGGTGGATCGCTCGCTGCTGCAGCGCAGCACGTGTGCACAACATACAACACCGTCAACCTTGCCTTGCCCCATGCCACATGCACCTTGCACCGTGCCCAATGCCCCCATGCTGCCCCTCAGGACGTGCCCACGGGAGAGATGCCGCGCAGTGTGCTGCTGGCAGTGGACCGCTCGCTGCTGCAGCATGATGTTTGCAGAGTACATGCACACCATGAACCTTGCCCCATGGCCCATGCCCCATGCCCCATGCCCCATGGCTCATGCCATATGCCCATTTCCCCCATGCACCACACTCTCTCAGGACGTGCCCACGGGTGAGATGCCACGGAGCGTCCTGCTGGCAGTGGACCGCTCGCTGGTGCAGCGCATCTCCCCCGGCACGCGCATCACCGTGTTTGGCATCTTCAGCATCTTCCAGGCCTCCGATAAAACCAAGTGAGCTGCCTGCCGCCCTCCAGACTCAAAAGTGTGAGTCTGAGTGAGGCCGAGTGAGATGAACAGTTTCTCTTTCCACTCTTTTTTTTGCCCCTCCAATGGTCCGCGTACATTCTCCCCTTGCGGCACGCGCATCACTGTGTTCGGCATCTCTGTGTGGCAATATGGCAACCTTACCTGCATGGGGTGGGCGTGAAGATATCTTTCTGTTCCCCTCTCCCTTCTTACTTTCCCCACGTTGCCCACTTCTTACTTTCCCCACGGTGCCCACTTCTTACTGCTATCCCTTTCTTCATTCCCACCTCTCCTCTCCTCCCTCCCTCAGGTCCTGGGGTGCCATGGCGGTGGCAATACGGCAGCCATACCTGGCATGGTGGGGGTGCAGATGGCATGACTGCCCCATTGACCCACAATCCCCGCCCTCTCCCCCACCTCTGCTCCCTGTGACCTGACCCCGCCTCTCAGGTCGCGAGGGGCCATGGCGGTGGCAATACGGCAGCCATACCTGCGGGTGGTGGGGGTGGAGATGGCTGCGGATGGCGCTGCCAGGTCCACTGCCTCCTCCTTTACCACTGACGAGGTCAGTCAGGGCATTGACTTGCATTGACTTGCATTGACTTGCATTGACTTGCATTGACTTGCATTGACTTGCATTGACTTGCATTGACTTGCATTGACTTGTGTTGACTTGCGTTGACTTGTGTTGACTTGCGTTGACTTGCGTTGACTCCCTTGACAATTTCTGGCCCACACTGACTTGGGTGTTGATTCTGGATTGCCAGATCGCGAATTCACTTAATAATCACCCTCTCCTCCCCCCTGCCCCACTCAAACCCTTCCCCCCTCCCCCTACCTCTGTCAGAACTAGAGATTAGAATCGATACATTAGTAATGAGCTTGAAGCTCTTTAAGTACATCCAGGATGGGCAAGGAATGGACGGGGAGGGGAATCGGGGGCAATCTCTAGGGATTGGGGGTAATCCCAAGGCAATCTCCAACTGGTGGGTTGGAGATTGCTTGGAGATCATATTTGGGTTTGGTTGGTATGTGGGTGTACACCCAACCAAACTCTAAGTGCAGACTACACTACACTATGATATAAAGTACAACATGTGAGATTGAGGGCTAACACTAACACCCTCAACCTCTCCCTCTCCCCCACAGGAGGCGGAGTTCAAGGACTTCAGCCGGCAGGGCGACGTGTACGGCGCCATAAGCAGCCAGATCGCGCCGTCCATCTTCGGCCACGCCGACATCAAGAAGGCCATCGCCTGCCTGCTCTTCGGCGGCGCGCGCAAGGTGGGGTGAGCCATGTGCGAGGGACGGCAAGGTGGGCCATACGCCACCTTGTGGGGACCGCCAGGCCAGGAAGGTGGGATGGATGCTTGCCTTGCATCGCCTTACCGTGTGCCTTGACTTGACATGCCTGCTCTCTGCACTGTTCCTTGACCACCACCTGCCGTGCCCTGCCATAACATACCATGTTTTGTTTGAATTCTAAACAATCCAAGCCGGTAAGTTAGTGTGTGTGTGTGTGTGTTTGTTTGTTTGTTTTTTTCAAGATTTTGGTGATGTTAATCCTTTGTTGATGGTTCCATCTATGCCCTCTCTCTCCCCTCTGCCCCCTTATTCCGCTGCTCCCTCGTCCACCAATCAGCTACTGCCAGATGGCGCAAGGCTGAGAGGCGACATCAACGTGCTGCTCATTGGCGATCCCTCCACCGCCAAGTCCCAGGTGAGTCAGCACTTGCAGGTTCAATAATACTTCTCACCTGCGTCCATTTCCCCGATTTAATGCACAATCGGGTTGGCACCCATCCCTGTTGTTTCGGGCGACTTATTTGCTCCTGAACGCAACCCCTCAACCATTCCTCCCCCCCCCCCCCCCCCCCCCCCTCCACCTTGTCCGTCCCAGTTCCTCAAGTTTGTGGAGAAGACGGCACCCATAGCCGTGTACACATCAGGGAAGGGCTCCTCTGCTGCCGGTCTCACCGCCTCCGTTATTCGCGATGCCTCCTCTGTCAGTGCTGCGCCACAGCAACCCACTTGTTCTTCCTGCAGTTTAATATGCTTTTCTCTGTGCTTTTTTCTTTTGTTTGATTTTTTTTTCTTCTGTTTTTTGTCTCAGTATTTGTGTATGTCCTCCTGCTATTGATCTGTGCCCCTGTGTTTAATTCGTTTCCGTGCCATTCATCTATGATCCGCCCGTGAACGGCATGGCATGGCATGGCATGGCATGGCATGGGGGCAGAGGGAGTTCTACCTGGAGGGCGGCGCCATGGTGCTGGCCGATGGTGGCGTGGTGTGCATCGATGAGTTCGACAAGATGCGCCCTGAGGACAGGTGGGGGGGAGGGGGATAGATGAGGTGGGAGGCATGAACCAGGGAGGAAGCATGGATGAAGAATGGCATGGCATGGCATCAGATGGCATGAGATGGCACGGCATGGCATTAGATGGCATGAGATGGCATGAGATGGCATGAGATGGCATGGCATGGCATGAGATGGCATGAGATGGCATGGCATGGCATGAGATGGCATGAGATGGCATGAGATGGCATGAGATGGCATGAGATGGCATGAGATGGCATGAGATGGCATGGACAAACAAGTTGTTCCATGACGGGAGGTGGAAAGGGGATGGGAGGCATGGATGGGGTGGGATGGGGTGGGATGGGGTGGGATGGATGAACTAGGCCAGGCTAGAGTCACTTGCATGTTTCCCCCTTTTTGCTCCACAGAGTTGTGATGCATGGGACGATGCAGCAGAAGTGCATGAGCCTCACTGTGTGCTGCGCCGCTTTCTCTGTCCCATGCTCCCCACACAGTGGCGATCCACAAGGCGATGCAGCAGCAGACGAGACGACCAGCATGGCCACGGCAGGCATCACCACTCGCGCACCTCCCTTCTTCCCTGTCACCACCGTGCTTGCACGTTCCAGCCGCACGCACCATGGGTGCTGCAGAGTGGCAATCCTCGAGGCAACGAAGCATGCGTCTCACATGTGTGCTTTGCTTTGCCTCATGCAAGTCACTCGGTGTGTTCCCCCACCCCCCTTGTGCCACGCAGGGTGGCGATCCACGAGGCGATGGAGCAGCAGACGATAAGCATCGCCAAGGCGGGCATCACCACGGTGCTCAACTCGCGCACCTCCGTGCTCGCCGCTGCCAACCCGCCCTCCGGCCGCTACGATGACCTCCGGGTGCGCCGAGGGAACGGGGCGTGGGCGGGATGGGGAGGGGGGTGGAGGGGGGGGGAGAGGAATTGTCGGGGGGCCACCTCAATAAATGTATTGTGCTGCCAGCCACATCTTCCCTTGTTATGCCTCAGAATGATCGATGCGTACATCACATCCCCATCTCCCTCTCTCCTCTCACCACCCCACAGACAGCGCAGGAGAACATTGATCTGCAGAGCACCATTCTGTCGCGCTTCGACCTCATCTTTGTCGTCAAGGACACAAGGGACTTCAACCGCGATCTCGTGCGCCCTCCAGTCCCCTCCTTCCGCCGCCCTACCTTCCATTCTTTCACCAGATCATTTTTTTGGAATGCTGCTCCCTTAGTCTGCATGGCTGAGTCCAAGCATTTTGACAATGTTTTGCTTGTAAATTCACTGCTCTCATCTTTGTTATGAAGGGCACATCTGATTTCAACGTGACATGCTATCTGCTTCCTCCCAACCGCAACCTCTGTGAAACACCTCCTCTCAAGATTTGACCCACTCATCACTGTCAAAGATACCCGCGACCTGCTCCGTCCTCCTTGTCTTTGCGTTTGCCTCCCGTTGCCAGCCCTAGCTCCGTGTCAGCCCTAGCTCCGTGTCAGCCCTAGCTCCGTGCCAGCCCTAGCTCCGTGCCAGCCCTAGCTCCGTGCCAGCCCTAGCTCCATGCCAGCCCTAGCTCCGTGCCAGCCCTAGCTCCGTGCCAGCCCTATTTCCGTGCCAGCCCTAGCTCCATGCCAGCCCTAGCTCCGTGCCAGCCCTAGCTCCGTGCCAACGCCTGCGATTGTTTTCCCCCTTCCCCCGCTCAACATCGTGCTGCACGTGGTGAACGTGTATGCGAGGTGTCAGCCTGAGCCCCTTACTTACTTGCACCTGTGCCTCTTCCTCCGTGGCTTACCCCTTCTCCCATGCAGCAAATCGCGCGGCATGTGGTGAACGTGCATGCCAAGGCGGATGCTGTGGTGGGGCGGGCCGATGACGCCATGGGGGGCCGGGCAGCCATGGGGGATGGACCTGCAGGGGCGGGGGGCGTGGGGCACACGGGGAAGGATGGGGAGCAGGAGAACTGGCTCAAGAGGTAACGAGGAGGGGGAGCTGGGAATTTGTGGGGGGAATGGGGCTTGAGGTCTCAGCCTGAGCCCCTTACTTACTTGCACTTGTACCAGTAGGGGAGTTGCTTCCACTCTTCCAGATACCAGTATTCCCCTTTGTGTCCCGAAGCGCTTTGAGTCTTTCTCTTGCCTCAAAAGTTTTCATTTGAAGAAGCTATCACAGACCTCCTTCCTCCCCTTCTGCTGCTGCTTGTTGTCCTAAACCCCTCCCATCAGGTACATAGAGTTTGCTCGCACGCGCTGCTCCCCGCGGCTGTCAGAGTCGGCAGCAACGCTCCTGCAAAACAACTACGTGCAGATCCGTCAGGTGTGGGTTGATCCGGCAGGTGGGCTGCTTGCTGTTGTGTTGCAGTGGGGCTTGTCACATTGCACCACAACACAGCACATCACAACGCTCAAGTGCACATCCCACAGCTGCACTTTCTGTTCCGGTGCAGTGAACCTTGTTACAAGGGGACATGCTGCAACGCATCACATCACATCACATCACATCACATCACATCACATCGCACTGCACCGCACCATTCCGCATCCCACCTCACCATTACTGCGCCACATAACCCAGCATCATCCCCACATCACCCCTTCTCCCGTCAGAACATGCGGCGGAGGGCGACGGAGACGGGGGAGGCGTCAGCGCTGCCAATCACGGTTCGCCAGCTGGAGGCCATCGTGAGGCTCTCAGAGTCCATGGCACGCATGCAGCTGTGAGTAACGTGGCATGCAGCCATGAGTGACGTGGCATGCAGCAGTGAGTGACGTGGCATGCAGCTGTGAGTGACGTGGCATGCAGCTGTGAGGGTAACGTACAACATACTTCGTTGCCAATGTGGTCCCCTTGTGTCCTCCCCTCTTTCACTTCCCCGTACCCCCTCTTCCCGTGCACCCCTCCTCCCTCCCCCTCAGCTCCCCAGTGGCCACGGAGGAGCACGTCACTGAGGCGCTGCGCCTCTTCCATGTCGCGACGCTGGACGCCGCCCGGTCGGGCGTGGTGGACGGCGCAGTGCTGACGGAGGAGCAGCGGCGCGAGGTGCAGCAGGTGGAGGGCGCGGTGCGGCGTTGCGTGGCCATCGGGGGCTTCGTGTCCGAGAGGCGCCTGCTGGATGACATCACCCGCTCGGGCATCAGTGAGAGCGCCGTGAGTCTTGGGCTGTGAGAGCGCAAGTGCGACTTCTGGGTGGTGTGGTTGGGAGTGTGAGTGTGAGCATGCGTGTCGTAGAGGGTGCTATTGGATGAGATCAGTAAATCAGGTCTCAGTGAGAGTGAGGTGAGGCGTAGTGTGGGTTATGGGCGCATGAGGGTGAGCCTGATTGCCTGGTTGCCTGCTAGTCTGATTCGCCTTGCAACATGGTCATCTTCTTGCTGCATCACCAGGCTGCATTCCACAGGTTGTGTAATCTCCAGATTGCCACCTACTTGGTGCCTGTCTGGTGGGTGCTGTGTGCAACGCTCATCACAATGCTGTGTGCGACGCTCATCACGATGCTGTGTGCGACGCTCATCACGATGCTGTGTGCGACGCTCATCACGATGCTGTGTGCGACGCTCGTCACGATGCTGTGTGCGACGCTCATCACGATGCTGTGTGCGACGCTCATCACGATGCTGTGTGCGACGCTCATCACGATGCTGTGTGCGACGCTCATCACGATGCTGTGTGCGACGCTCATCACGATGCTGTGTGCGACGCTCATCACGATGCTGTGTGCGACGCTCATCACGATGCTGTGTGCGACGCTCGTCACGATGCTGTGTGCGACGCTCATCACGATGCTCTGTGCAACGCTCATCACGATGCTCTGTGCAATGCTCATCACGATGCTCTGTGCAACGCTCATCACGATGCTCTGTGCAACGCTCATCACGATGCTCTGTGCGACGCTCATCACAATCCTTCAGCACATGCATCACCGACTATGTGTGGCATGTGGCATGTGCGTGTGGCATGGTATGTGGCTTATGCCATATGGCAATGGACTGTGGAATGTGGCATGGCATGTGTCATGGCATGCTGCAATCATCAGGTACGGCGAGCGCTGCTCATCATGGTGGCACGGGGAGAGGTGGAGTACCGACGGGAGAGGAGGGTCATTTACCGCAAGGTCTGACCACCGCTTCTACTACTGCTCTCACCGCCGCCCTGACCGCCGGTCTCACTCTTGGTCTCACTGCTGCTCCCATTGCCATTGCAACTCTGACTACAGTACAACCACTGGTATAGGCTCTAGTCTCTTAATGAGTTGAATAATGTAAGATTTGCTGGGCTGGTTAGAAAAAGAAGGATCTCGATGATCTGCAACAAGTGGTGAAATGAATTGCCAAACAAGTCGGTGTACTTAAGTGGTTACCGTCATCCCCCGGAAATAAGCCCAGGTGAGCTTACATAAAAACATGAAAAATGCTGGGTGGGCTCATACGGTAATCGAATAATCTGTTTCTGTATAGCCAATGGGCTAATTAAATGACACTTATGAAATTTTGATTTAGGGACATCAAATTTTGAAATCGTCTTAGCGGTTTCAACAATGAAGAGAGCACAATGGGTCACTTGGCGAAAGTTCGAAAAACAGTTCCCTCTCTTCTTCAGTTCCTGCACCCGCTTCTCCCCCCCAGTACCGTCAGCCCCCTGATAGAAGTGCCCCTGGGGGTATAAAAAAACACTGTTTTTTAGGGGGTGGCCTTATAATTGAGGATTTTTATAAGCGCCGGGGCATATATAATGACATATATGAAATCTAGTTTTATTTACACCAAACTGTTCATCTCGTCCTTGCGATTTGAATCGAATCGATATTGTAGAGGGCAATGAATGTGAATTGTGAAGATTGAAACAGGAATGTTAAGTAGCGGGTCAGAGTGCGCCCATACCCCCCCAGGCGAATGCGCCTGTAACTCCTCTAGGATCAATCGGGCATCCACAGTGCAGATCTACTGACACCCCCCCACACTGGGAGGCCCAGGACTGAGCACAGCGGCAACGGCCTACATGTGCATACACCGGGATTTGAACCCGAGACCGCTCTGACACCATGTCAGAATCCCAATCACTAGACCATTGGGATAGAAGGGCTTGTTAAGTAGCGGGTCAGAGTGCGCCCATAACCCCCCAGGCGAACACACCTGTAACCCCCCTAGGATCAATCGGGCATCCACAGTGCAGATCTACTGACACCCCCCCACACTGGGAGGCCCAAGATTGAGCACAGCGGCAACGGCCTACATGTGCATACACCGGGATTCGAACCCGAGACCTTTCTGACACCATGTCAGAATCCCAACCACTAGACCATTGGGATAAAAGGGCTTGTTAAGTAGCGGGTCAGTGCGCCCATAACCCTCCAGGACAACGAGCCTGTAACCCTTCCCTAGGATCAACCGGGGATCACCAGTGGACCTCTGACACCCCCCCGCACTGAGATGCCCGAAGTGCACACACTGGGATTCGAACCCGAGACCTTCGCTCTGATACCATGTGAAGATTGAAACAGGAATGTTAAGTAGCGGGTCAGAGTGCGCCCATACCCCCCCAGGCGAACGCGCCTGTAACCCCTCTAGGATCAATCGGGCATCCACAGTGCAGATCTACTAATATGAATTTCGCGTAAGTTGGCAGTGGCTGAATCCCTGCCAACACACACAGTCAGAATGAGTCAGATTGACCCCATGACAGCTCATTCTGACTGGACGCGAAGGCATTGAGTCGCGCGAGGGTGAAGCGAAATTCTAAATGTGGGGATGCAAAATTGTGTTTCGTTACAGTACCGTCATACCCCGGATATAAGCGCCACCCTCGGATAAGCGCCTGGCGCTTTTAATTGGCGCATGGCGCTTATATCCGCTGCTCGATTATAAGCGCACCCCCTGAAAAAACTTGTTTTATTATAAGCGCACGTAAACCTAAATTTTGAAATGTGTTCAAAATGCTGTAACGATTTTTACTTTAGCAGGCGGATGTGTTGCAGATTCGGTTCCCTTCACATTCGGACCCTGCACTGGATGCGGGTCCAGTCAGCAGGAGCTGTCAGGAGCTGTCAGGAGCTGGATGTGAGTCAGATTGGGTGTATCTCCCAGCGCGCACGAGAATTTCACAGACGACCCCATATAACTTCGACTTGATTGGAAAGGCAAGCACGAGATCTACAGTTTGGTGTTAAAAAATAGAAAAAATATATATGTCATTTTATAAACGCCGGCGCTTATAAATTTAATCGATTATAAGCCCACCCCCCTGAAAAAACCTGTTTTATTATTGCCCCCCATGGGGGTATATCCGGGGTATGACGGTATTTCCAATAAAAAGGAAACAAATATTACAGAGGGTGGCGCTTATAATCCACAAGCCGTTAGGGGTGGGCTTATAATCGAGGACCGGATATAAGCGCCATGTCAGATTTATATGACATTACTACTGTAGGCTATAGTGGGGTAGCACATATGGGGTACAGTTTTCCTAGGGTTTGCATTTTGTACCCAACTTTCCCTTAGTGAATCCATTCCTCGTTTCTTCTCATGGTATCGAGCAGGTTCCCTAGTGGGAACGATTCCTAGGGCCCACCACCACGAAATTTTTTTTTTCCTGCCCGGAGCGCGCTTCGCTCCGGCCCGAGTCGCGCCCTGTGTGCTCTCCCTACCGTCGCGCCCTCGCTAGGCCCCTCACGGCCCCGTCGCGTCGCCCTTAGCGGCCCTCTCACGGCTCGTCGCGCCGCCCCTACGGCCCTTCGTGCCGCCCTTACGGCTCGTCGCGCCCGTCGCGCCGCCCTTACGGCCCCTCGTGCCGCCCCTTACGGCCCCTCGCGCCGTCCCTTACAGCCCCTCGCGCGGCCCCCTACGCCCCTTACGGCCCCTCCCGCGGCCCCTCACGGCCCCCTACGGCTCGTCGCCGCCCTCAGCGGCCCCGCCACCTACCTGTGCGGCCCCGCCACCTACCTGTGCGGCCCCGCCACCTACCTGCGGCCCCGCCACCTACCAGCGGCCCCGCCACCTACCCGCGGCCCCGCCGCCTACCTGTGCTGGCCCCGCCACCTACCTGCGGCCCCGCCACCTACCAGCGGCCCCGCCACCTACCTGCGGCCCCGCCACCTACTAGCGGCCCCGCCACCTACCTGCGGCCCCGCCTCCTACCTTTGCGGCCCCGCCACCTACCTTTGCGGCCCCGCCACCTACCTTTGCGGCCCCGCCACCTACCTTTGCGGCCCCGCCACCTCCTCTCCGCGGCCCCGCCGCCTCCTCCCAGCGGCCCCGGACGCCGCCCTCTCAGCGGCCCCGCCGAGCCGCCCAGCAGCGAGCCGCCCAGCAGCCGAGCCGCCCAGCCGCCGAGCCGCCCAGAAGCCGAGCCGCCGAGCCGCCCAACAGCCGAGCCGCCGAGCCGCCCAGCAGCCGAGCCGCCGAGCCGCCCAGCAGCCGAGCCGCCGAGCCGCCCAGCAGCCGAACCGCCGAGCCGCCCTGCAGCCGAACCACCCGAGCCGCCCTGTCCGGTAAGAGCAGCGCCTCTTTCACAGCCCTGCCCTCACCCTACTGTTTGCGCTGCTAGTCTACTGCTGTCATGGCTACCCCTAGTGTCCTCGCTTTTGACGCTGAGGGTCGGGCCATTGACTTTGACGTCTGGATAAATTACCTGCAGCTTTTCTTACAGTGCGACAGAGCAGACGGCCTCTCCCTCTTTGACCTCACTTCTGGTGCCTCTCCTGCCCCCGCTGCTGATGCTGACGCCACTGTTCGCTCACAGTGGGCCACGCGCGATGCTGCTGCACGTCTTGCTGTGCGTCGCCACCTGCCTACCTCTGAGCGTGCGCACTTTAGCCAGTACAAGAGTGCTCAGACCTTGTACGACGCTGTAGTTGCGCGCTACTCCTCACCTGCCACTGCTGCACTGAGCCGCCTCATGCTACCGTACCTCTTCCCTGACCTTGCTGCCTTTCCCACAGTTGCTGACCTCATTACGCACCTCCGCACTAGTGACACTCGCTACCGCGCTGCGCTTCCTGCTGAGTTCTGCGCCAAGAACCCCCCCCCCATGTACATCACCCTCTACTACATAGTCACCCGGCTCCCTGACTCCCTTCGCGTAGTCAGGGACCACTTCCTCTCAGTTTGCCCCACCACTCTCACCGTTGACCTCCTCGAGAAGTCCCTCCTAGCAGCAGAGAAGAGCATAGTAGCTGTAGGAGCCTCTCGTGGTGACCCTCGCACCCCCATCTTTGAGGGGTGTTCCCCCTCCCCCCTTTTGCCCTCTGTTGCCTCTGCTGCTGCGGCCGACCTCGTTGGGCTTGAGTCGGTCGGTGCGGCGTCTACCCCTAGCGGGAAACGCCGCCCTGGCAAGGGCAAGGGGGGCACGGGCACTGGAGGGGCTAGCGGGGGCGGTGGAGGCGGCGGTGGAGGCAGTGGAGGGGGTGGGGGTGGCGGTGGGGGTGGTGGTGGGGGTGGAGGTGTCAGTGGCGGCGGTGGAGGCGGAGGCGGCGGCGGCGGTGGCGGTGGGAGTGGAGGTGGCGGCGGTGGAGGAGGCGGCGGCGGAGGAGGTGGAGCTGGTCGGGGTGGAGCTGCGCAGAGGGCTGGCTCCGGTGGTGGTCAGCGCCAGCAGCAGCAGCAGCGCACTCGTGACATCCCCCCCCCTCAGCAGCTCCGTGAGTGGTACACTGCACGCCAGCGGGGTGGGGGTACTGGTCCGTGCACCTACGTCCTCCGCACCGGCGACCGCGCGGGTGACCAGTGCGGGGGTGCGCACTCCACCCAGCGCTGCTTTGGCCGCCTGACGGACGCTTGGCGTCACCAGTTCCCTGAGGCCACTGAGATCCCCCGCTGGGGTGAGCTGTCTAGGGCGGGTGTCGCTGTCTTTGACCTTGACTTTGATGCTATTCTTGCTGCCATGTATACTGTGACTATTAGTGATGAGGGTGACTGTTACCGGTGTTTTTCGCCCGACCCGGGCATTGAGACTGCTGCTCTAGGTACTGGTGAGGCTGCTGCTCTAGGTGCTAGCGAGTCTGCTGCTCTAGGTGCGTCTGCTTCCTCAAGTGCTGGTGAGTCTGCTCTCTCAGGTTCTGCGTCGGCTTCGGCCTCCCACACCTTCACCCTTGACTCGGGGGCTTCTCGCTCCTTCTTTCGAGACCGCACCACACTCACGCCACTTGGCCGGCCAGTTGCGGTCTCTCTGGCAGACTCCTCTGGGGGTCCTGTCCTTGCTCACTTCTCCACTGTCCTCCCGTGTCCGGCGGCCCCCTCTGG